TGCTTCTCCCCCCCGCCCTCCCCCACCCCAACCCTCAGCTCAAGTCCGTAACTCTGTCTGTCAGGCGCCTTGGGACATTCTCCCGACATGAAAGGCGCTATACAAATGTAATGTTGTTGTTGTGTTGTTAATATTTGTACTTCTCAGGTGCTAACAAGTTCCTTTTGGTCTTGATAGAAGGTGACCCAGCCTCAATAAGCACTTATAGTAATGAGTTCCACAACCTAACCTACCTCTGAGTGAAGTAATTCATGCTAACTTCTCCCACAATTCTGCCACTTGGTCACCAATTTCCCAATTCTAGAAAATGGCAGGACAGGGAGGAAGGACTTCCTTTGTGATAAAGCATGGGCTCAAACAGATCGAGTCAATCACTGCACAGCACATCGAAACAACAATGTGCTGCAGCACTGTGGTACTCACCAGTCAAACAGATCATTACTTTACATAAATTTCATTGCATTTACAGAGCCAATTTTGCAACTTGTCATTTTATAATACACAATACTAACAGTTGCATAAACGTCTCAAAGTACTTGTCAGGGGATTGCTGCCAAGTGCAGCGACTGAACATTTGTAAGAAATTTGCAGCAGCATTTTGCACGCAACATGGTATCACAAACAACCATGAAATAAAAGTTGAGATGTATCTGGAGGATTGTTGACCATGGAACCTTGCTGCATAGTGTCATGGAATCTGTGATGTCCATCTGAACAGGGAGATGGGTTTAATGTCTTCTCCAAAGGATGGCACCTGCAACAACTTTGCACTGGAATAGCAACCGAGAATATTAGCTCAAGTTTCTGATGTGGGGCTTGAACCCACAAACGTCCATCAATTGAGCCACTCTGATACTTTTATGTATAGTCCACAAAAAGATGCATAGCTCTAATTCTCAACATACCTGTTGAATAGTTCCAGATTTATGGGTTATGGGGTCTCTACTATATCTGGATAACGTTTGATATAGGTCTTTATCACGTTGTTGTGACATCTCAAACAGCTTCAAAGAAGTAAATTGTAGTGACTGTGTATTTTATAAGCAAACATGGCAGCCACATGAATATCCCACAAACAGCCATGAAGTAAATGACCAATTTTATTTGGAAGAATCAGTGGCCAGGGCACCAGGAGACATTCTCTTCTCTTTCCAAAAGTACGATGTGATCTATAAACTGAACACGGTGACACGACCTCAGTTTAACATGTACAATAACACTGGCTGAAGAACTGCTGTGGAGAGAAACCTGAACCTGACTGGAAAGGTGAACTGCAGGAGGCACCATACGGCCAGCATTCGGTTCACCCTTCATTTGTGACTTCATTCTCCTTCAAGCTGTTGTCTTGACAGCTTTTCTGCACTGCTCATTAAACTTCCATGGATGAATATTATGCATGAAGTTAACAGCAAGTGGGATTGACTTAAACATCAAAGTCAATGCTCAATGATCATGCCTTGCTGCCAATCCAAATTGTGATACCGTTGAAGACGTGGAGTTTCCTGATGCTCGACTTTGCAAAGACCAAATTCCTCACAACAAAGTACAGGAGCGAAGTTTACACCTGAGGTTTCCCGGGGAGTACGTAGAGCAGGAAACATTACTAAAAGAAGAAAGCTCCACTCTTTTAACTTGGAGGGTTTCATTTTAATATAATAATAATAATCATTGCATTTGACATAGCGCTTTTCACGTCTTCTAGATGTCTCAAAGCGCTTCACAGAATATGCTGTAAAGTGAATTGACTGTATATTTGTGGGCGAAACGCTTTAGGCTAGAAAAGGCCATCCAGTACTTGGTAGTTTTTCTACTGGGATTAACTTGCCGTAAACAAGTACTCTAATGCTGTCTCTTGGAGCTAGGCAGAAAGTGTGATGCAGCAAGCAGATACAAAATTGGATCAAATATGCCTCTTTAAGGAAGCCATTATATCTTTTAAATGTGATGTACTAATTATATATTGTTTTAAAGTATTGCCTCCTGCTGATACTGCATTCTCCCCAGTTTGTAGCCAGAGTGACCACTTTTTACAGCTATGACACAGAATGTGGGCAGCTATTCGACTGCACGTTAAGCTTGATTGCTGTCAGCTACAGTCCACACGTAGATATGAGCAGAATTGAATGACTGTCAATCCTGTTTTAAATTTAATGAGTTTTGTGCATAGTAACTATGAAAGAATAACCCAGCGTCATTCATGTTCAAACGACCTGCTCTGCAATTAAACACGGCCATTAATAATTAAAGGAGGAATAGTTCTCCATCTTGGCCAGCTTCTGCAGGAATGACTCCCTTACATTGCAAGGCTCAGCAGCTTTTCGGAGCCAGGTTCTTTCATGATATCACCAGTACTTTTTGTAGTTCAGAAACAAAAAGAAAAATGTCAAAGATAATTATATTCTTGTATTATGTGAATGTTTATAAAGGGTACTGTAAGGTTATGCAGTATAATAGCTTGAAGTATTTTAGAGCACAAGATTATATAAAAGCAAGGTACAATGCTTTTATTTATAAAATGCAAATGTGTGTAAGCTGTCATCTATGGCCCTGTTGTAACCCTTATTCCTACTGAATCGTGTTTCTGTATTTTCTCAAGATGCTCTCCTGAGTGGGCAAAGTACTGCTATCGTCATATTATTAACATTCTTACTAGGAGAGGCTAGGTACAATGACACCCAGCATGTCCCAATTAACATGTTCTTTTGAAAATAAATATACTCATATATTATTCAATTAAAACTTTTATTTAACTTTCACAGGAAGAAAATTAAATGATATAGCCCATGGAAATTACTATGTTGACATATGTGGTCCACGAAGGACATGGGTTTGATAAGCCTAATTGACTTTTTTGTACATCAAATGGACTTCAGTGGGAAGTTACAATCAACAAAATCTCACTGTTTATAATCATTGAATTGCATAGAAGCAATCAGTAATGATCCATTGGCCTGCGCTAGTGTTGAAAACCTCTACGTCAATTGATCTGCCTGTTCATGAGGACGTTAAAGATCCCACGGTACTAGTCAAAAAGGGAATGGAGTTTCTCCTTGTTGGCTTCTCCTAGTCAACAATTCCACAGATAAAATTGTGACATTGCTGTTTACCACATTTTTGCCATATTTGGCTACAAATTGCACATTAACTACACTTTACAGTAAATGCTGCTACATGCTTTGAGAGGTCATCCCAACGTGAAAAGAATTATAACGAATGCAAGGATTGTTATTTGATTATTACTGATTGAGTAATTAAATCAGAAATGCTATATAAAGATTGTGAAGATACTTCACAGTTTAATGCTAAAATAGCAACAACTTCACTTGATGAGTGTACAGCAATTGACCTATAGACCGAATTAGGGCAAATAGAGATGGACCTGTGTGAAAGTCAGAGTTTAGTGTCCAACATGTATTACTCATCACAAAATGAATAATTTCCAGTCCAAACGTTGAGTCATTGAGCTCAATGCTGACCGAGCGAGGCATCCCACTCAACAAAAATGTTCCACTCAATAAAACAAGCAACAGTACCATCTAGCGGCATTCAAATGGAATGCCATCAGAACACATCTTACTCTTGAATATAAAATTGTTGTTCTGATTCCCCCCCCAACCAACCAACCAACCAACCATAGATACCGAAGGGAATTAAAGCTGAACGGTAAAACTGTTCAGTCGGAGAATTTAAACCCCTTTGTTTATACAATCAATTCTAAAGCAGAACTCTTCCAATTTGCAGTGCAGTTTAGAAATAGCAGTTTAAACAACACAGGCTGCTATGGATTCCAGCAAAGTGGAGAGCAAATTGTTCTCGACTCATGGCAGTGGTTATCTGTAGAACTGACTTAGCATCAGATTCAAGATGAACTTTGAAATGTACTACATTTCACCTAAGCAGGAAAATTAGCTGTAGTTGCCAGAAGCACACAACTAATACAATGGCAAAAGCTACCCCAACACTTACAAGGTGAATTAAAATGACATGTTTATTGCTTGGAGCTACAAATACCGAATTACTATCTTAGTACCCTATTGTGGGATCCTTGGCAAAGGAAAATTCTCTCTAGGGTTAGCACCTAGTCTCTGTGAGACTAATGAAATGGAAATAATAAATCTATAAAAATTGTGTGTCGCTCCTTCAATAGAAAATGTAGCTGATTAGCTGAAAATCTTGTTAAAATATACAATCATTATTTGGCTTAAGAATATTACCTCATCAGTTCTGCAGGCTGACCTGTATAAAGTTTATATAATAATAATAATCCTTGCATTTCATACAGGGCCTTATCAAGTCTTCAAGACGTCTCAAAGAGCTTCATAGAATATACTGTAAAGTGAATTGACTCTATATTTCGTGGGCGAAAAGCAGCAGCCAATTGCGCAGAGCAGAGTCCCATAAACAGTCGTGGATTGAGTGGCCAAATTATTAATATTTTTTTGAAGGAATTTTTACACTGGAGAAGTGATCCACTAATCAACTGACAACCGGGTTTCTACTTACTGCTGGGTAAACAGAGGCGTGTGGAGTAAGGAAACTTGACTAACGTTTCGCCCAGCCGGGAATCGGACGGAGGTCTTTTGCTTGCAAGGCTCTAACCACTTAGCTACAGGACACCAAATATGACGCTTACTCATACAGACTTGTGCACCAATCAGTATCTGCAGAATTTATTTATTTATAGTAATGTCACTGTAGTTAGAAGCAGGTTGTTTGCTGCAATTCCCCCATGTGGTCAGATTTCCCTCCACTGTGCTGAGCTGTGCAGAAGACATGCCATTCCGGCTGGGGACCACTGAGTAGCAATCCTGCCACATAAACCTATAGATAGATATTTTCTGAACAGAAGTGGGTTGAATAGAACAGAACAGGCAGGGTTACTCACTGATCAATAACCACAGTATTTGGCTCATTGAACCTAATGATAGGTTACATAAAAATATAGCTTAATTGTTATTTGCAAGAGCATGTGAAAGCTGGACTGGCCTTTATAGACTCACCTTTCCATCTGTTATAGTGGGGACTGAGAACACATACTCCAGCTGGAAAACAACAGCGAATGCTGGGTGATGGACCATCTCAGTCAGTTGGATGCGACTCCTGAGGATGAGTGATTCGTTCTCGCCTGAGAGACTCCTGTGACTGACAAAAAAAACGAGGATTCACTGTTTAATAATAAATAATAATATAACAGATAGAATGTCTGACATCTATGGCAACGTAATCCCCTGCTTAAGAATATCCAAACACACATATGCACAGTACCTACATATGGAGATGTTACCATTTCTCTGGATGTATTACACACATCCTCCCTGGAGGGATGCACTCGACCTACCTAATTCCAGACAGCATTAGGCTTAGAGGTCTCAGAGTACACATTGAGGTACTTCTGGAGTTTAACTGCTAAAAAAAGAGTCCTGCTGGCAACACTTTTATCCCCATTTTTATCTTCCCTTCAAGGAGGATAGTCACTAGTTCATAATTAGAAATCCACAAAGCACAGGTTTGAGCTGTCACAGTTGGATAGGTGGTACCAGGATCTCTACACAAGCCTCTTGGTGAGCACAACTCAGCATGAAATGTGAGAAACTGAGGCCACCAGCTGCCCACAGTTCGGATATAACAAAACAACAAAATTACAGTTGTATAGTATCTTTCACGTCAACAGGACATCACAAGGCGCTGGACAGTCAGTGGTTTGGACCAGAGCTGGGGGTCAGGATTGGGGAGGGTGGAGGGCAGGGGGGGGAAGGAGGGTGATCGAAAGCACGGTCAAAGAGGAGGAGATGGAGTCAAGGTAGGGGGTGAGGCGGAGAGTCTGCGGGATGGAGTTCCAGAGGGTAGGGGAAGAGTGGCTGAAGGCTCACCCAACAATGGTGGGGCGGGTGAGGCAGCCGGAGCCCGCTGAGCGGAGGAAGTGAGCAGGATGGTAGAGGGTTAGAAATTCGCTAAGGTAGGGAGGAGCAAGGCCATGGAGAGTTTTGAAGGTGAGGACCAGGATCTTGAACTGTATCCTCTGTGTGATGGGAAGCCAGTGGAGTCAGGCGAGGATGGGGGTGATACAGTCGCGGAGCCGGGTGCGGGAGAGGACGCGGGCTGCAGAGTTCTGGATGATCTGCAGCCTGTGGAGGGAGGAGTTGGAGAGGCCAACAAGCAGTGAGTTTGCATAGTCAAGACTCGATGTTATGAAGGCGTGAATGAGGGTCTCGGTGGCCTGCGGTGTGAGACAGTGGCAGAGCCGGATGATGTTGAGGAGGTGGGGAAGGCAGAGCGGGTCATGGCGCGGATGTGAGGTAGAAAGGATAACTGAGGGACAAACGGGATGCCAAGGTTTCGGACTGGCTTAGTAAAGTGGAGTGTGCAACCACGGATGGAGATGCTGTCAGTGCCTGACCTGTGGACGGATTTCGATCAGGAGGGCCTTGGTCTTGTTGACTTTCAGCTGAAGAAAGTTAGCTCTCATGCAGGAATTGATGTCAGTCTTGAAGTGCATGTGCGTAAATGCACGGAGTAAATGCACAAATAAGATTGGTGAGCTTCAGGCTCAAGTTGCCACATGGGGTTATGATGTAGTGGCAATAATGGAGACCCGGCTCAAACAAGGGCAGGAATGGGAACTGAATATTCCTGACTACAATGTATTCAGGAGGATAGGGAAGGATAAAAAGGAGAGGGGTGGCAATATTGATTAAAGACTCAGTTACGGCCCTGGCAAGGACAATGTGCTAGAGGGCCCCAAAACAATACCTATTTGGTTAGAGAAAAGGAGCTGTTACTTTGTTAGATGTACACTATAGACCACCAAATACTGGGAAGGAGAAGACGAGCAAATCTGCAAGCAGATTTCAGAAAGATGCAAAACTAATAATTTAGTGACCAAAAACAAAAGTCGCTGGGATCACCCAGCAGGTCAGGCAGCATCTATGGAGAAAGGAAAGTGAGTCAACGTTTCGGGTCCACGACCCTTCATCAGAACTGGGGCATGTTGGGAGGGAGAGGCTTTTAAGGGCTAACATAGACGGGGGAGGCCGGGCATGGAAGACAAAGGAGAAAATGGGATAGAGGACAGGGATGATAATAATAATGATAATCCTTGCATTTGATATAGCGCTTTTCACGTCGGGAGGACGTCCCAAAGCGCTTCACAGAACACACTGTAAAGTGAATTGACTGTATATTTGTGGGCGAACGCGGCAGCCAATTGCGCACAGCAATGTCCCACAAACAGTCGTAGATTGAAAATGACCAATTTATTATTGTTATTGTTTTTAGGTGGGTTCATTATTATCTTGTTGATACTCACTGTAATCATAGACAGACTGCAGACATGGTTGCGAAGAGAGACTGCAGACATGGATGCAGTGGGCATGGAGAGAAGGAATAACATGACTAAATCCAGTGGCAGCCGGTTTCATAGCCAAGACCAATAATTTATATTTTGAAATAGACTGAGAACAGGAGAACTGTCTGCAATTGTTGTAGGCCTAGAAGCTTTCTTGCTTAAAAGCAATGGGTTAGAGAGGTGATAATGGTGCAGAACAAAGGGTGGGGGATTGCAACAAAGCAAGGGAATAGAGGTGTTTTTCTGCTTTGTTGCAACCCCCCTTTTGACAAAGGGTCGTGGACCCGAAATATTGACTTTCCTTTCTCCATAGATGCTGCCTGACATGCTGAGTGTTCCCAGCGACTTCTGTTTTTGTTTTCAGATTTCCAGCATCTGCAGTATTTTTTTTAATAATTTAGTGATAATGGGAGACTTCAATTATCCTAACATAGACTGGCAAAATAACAGTGTAAAGGGCAAGTAAGAAGAAGGATTCCTGAAATGTGTGCAGAATAACTTTCTGGATCAGCCCAACGGGGAAGGAAGCAGTGCTGGCTCTAGTTCTGGGGAATGAAGTGGGGCAAGTGGAGCAGGTTTCAGTAAGAGAGCATCTGTTATGTGCAAATGTTACTCCCTGTACAAAAAGGAGCAGAAGGATAAACCTGAGAAGTACAGACCAATCAGCCTAACATCAGTAGTAGGGAAACTTCTGGAGACTATAACCTGGGATAATATAAATTCCCACTTAGAAAAATATGGTTTAATAAAGGACAGTTAACACGGATTTGTTAAAGGCAGATCGTGTCAGACAAACCTAATAGAATTTTTTGATGAAGTGATTGAGGGGGTGGATGAAGGTAGTGCAGCAGATGTAGTTTATTTAGATTTTCAAAAGGCATCTGACAAAGTGCCACATGAGACTTATAAACAAAATAGAAGCCCACGGTATTAAAGGGACTGTGGCAACATGGATTCAGAACCGGCTGGGAGACAGAAAGCAGAGAGTGGTAGTGAACGGTTGCTTTTCTGACTGGAGGGAGGTGTGTAGTGGTGTCCCTCAGGGGTCGGTATTGAGACCACTGCTCTTTCTGATCTATATTAATGATTTGGACCTGGATATAGGGAGCACAATTTCCAACTTTGCAGACGATACTAAGCTAGGAAAAGTAGTTAATGGTGAGGAGGACAGCACCAGACTCCAAGAGTACTTAGACAGATTGGTAAGATGGACAGAAACATGGCAGATAAGGTTTAATGTGGAGAAATGTGAAGTGTTACATTTTGGTAGGAAGAATGAGGAGAGACAGTAAAAGCTGATGGTACAATCTTAAAGGACTGGAAAAGGCTAGCCCTTGAGACCCTCACATAGGCCCTCTCATCTTCAAACATCCTATCCGTCTGGCCTTCCACCCACGGAGATCCTGAAGCAGCCATCCAGCTGCTCCATGATCATCTCTCCTCCACTTTCAACTCCCTCGTCCCCCTAAAATCCAGGACCATCTCCAAACCCACCCGATCCCCCTGGTACAACAACCATTTCCGACACCAAAAAACCCAAACCGTCTGCTCGAGCGCAGATGGCGGAAAACTGGCCTGACAGTTTGGCGGTGGCCAACTGTGGCTCGAGCATCTCCACCGTTCTTTGACACGCGCAAAAACGGCCTTCTACTCCAACATCATCTTGGAGGCTAAACACAACCACAAAATCCTTTTTCCCACCACCCACTACCTCCTCCGTGTCCCCCCTCAGGCCTCCTCAATCTTCATATCAATTGCCAAGTGCGGGGAGGTCATGGACTTCCTTTCAACTAAAATACTGAACATCCGCCAGGCAGCCTCATCCACCTGCCCCTTGTCACCCACCAAGCCCTCTCTTGCCCCCTCAATCCTCTTCATCTTCTGCTCCTACCACCACCCCCTTTCTACACTCTTTCCTCCCCATCTCTCTCTCCTCCCTCTCACCCACCATCACTTCCATGAAACCCACCACATGCTGCCTCGACCCCCTCCCCACCAACTTACTGGTCACACAGCTCCCCCTCCTCTGCCCACTACTGGCTGACATTATCAAACAGTCCCTCTCCTCTGGATCAGTCCTTGCCTCCCTCAAAATTACTGTCATTAACCCCCCTCCTGAAAAAATCCTCCCTAGATCCCTCAAACTCCAGCCATTACCGCCCTATTTCTAACCTGCCCTTCCTCTCAAAAGTTCTAGAACACGTTGTTGCAAACCAACTCCGCACACACCTCTCCTCCAATTTACTCTTCAAATCCCTCAAGTCCAGTTTCCGCCCACAGAACAGAGACTGCGCTGTGAAAGTCACAAACGACATCCTCTCTATCTGTGACCAGGGCTCCCTCTGCCTCCTTGTCCTCTTGGACCTCTCCGCCGAGTTCGACACAGTCGATCACGCCATCCTCCTCCATCGCCTTTCCTCCGTCATCCACCTCAGTGGGACCGCACTCGCCTGGTTCGAGTCCTACCTCACAAACCGCCAGCAGTACATCTGCATAAACGGCTTCTCCTCCCGCCCTCACCCGGTCACCTGCGGGGTACCCCAAGGATCCATCCTTGGCCCCCTCCTCCTCCTCTCCTCTTCCTCTTGGGAATGTCATCCGCAGACATGGGGTACATTTCTACATGTACGCAGATGACACCCAACCCAACTCTATTTTTCCACCTCTCAGCCTGCCTACCAGACCTCAAGGGCTGGATGAGCACAAACTTCCTTCAGCTGAACATTGACAAGACAGAAGCCATACTCTTCGGCTCTCGTCAACGTCTAAAAGCTCACGGTTCTCACCTCCTCCACCT